AAAAAAACAACAAACAACAAAAAAGTGGGCGGGCTGTTTCAGGCCATCCGGCACTTCCGATCGCGACATAAGGAACGGCCCGGATTGCAGGCCGATCACCACCATGGATATGGGATGGAATTTTGCAATGACCCTCTGCCCAAGTGTTGAATGCTGCACAACATGTTTGACATGATTTTGTCTGTTCTTTTTTCTAGGTAGACCACAGAGGATCTGTAGTACCGTTATTTACAGAAGCAGCCTAGCCGCACTGTAATTTAATTAATTGGATTGGGAAGGGATCTAAGTGTCTGATAAGCTCAGGCTATACTCAACACATTCACATCACCCACTTCGTGGCCTTGGATACACTGTATGTGTGTGTCTGACGAAGTGACAAGTGGGTGGTCGGCCTTGTCTTTGGATTGAAAGCAGAATGCAACGGACACCACGTCAATCATCTTGATAAACTAGTAGGTTTCTTCAGCCTGCTTCTTTTGAACTTAGTGCAATATTGAAGCGGTAAGGTCAATGAACAAGATTCCTTCACAAAGTGAACTATCGGCCATAATGATGATCGATTGTCCACGAAAGAGTAGTAATTCAAGATTCCGAGCATTCACTGATTGAAGAATCTTGATGTCTTTTTTTTGTTCGTTTTTTATGTTGAAAAAAGGTTGTGTGTAGGCTTGAGGTATGGACAGGGCCCTGAACAGGCAACCGAGGCTATCAGCTCATGCAACACACAGGAACTCAGAGGAGGGCATCGAACTGAACCGGCATACCTTTACGGTAGCCAGATGCCCAGTGAACACCCCCCGGTGCACTGTGTGCACCATGAGTGAGCCACCAGTTCACCCCATAGAACACCTATACATACCCCACCCCCGGCTCCGACAGACAGACTACCAGTATGGCCAGGACAACAGACAACCAGACAACCAGGACAATTCGCCGTGACGAGTGCATGACAATCCGACGAGTACAGGACAATCCAGAACCGCCATACAACAGCCTATAAAACCTGATGGATCGTCCCCCCCAAGGGGTACCCTGGCTTAAGATGCGAATGCTCCCGGGTTCAATCGAAGGAGACCTCCCAAAAACGGGCACAATTCGAGCTATTAAGCCTACTTGCAGCATGCGCAACAAGCGCTCCATCTGAGCGCGGCCAGTCTCGAACACTCAACCTGCATCTTACAATGCAGCCGCCCAAACAACTGGGCTCCGATCATTCACTGCATGTGCGAATGACCGTGCATCGGTTAATGACCACTGGTGTCCATGCGCGAAGGTGCGGGGGTTTGAACCCACACCCTCAGACCACAATGCGCATTTCCAACCGGTGCTCTACCCACTGAGCATGATCCAAAATTGAACTTCACGAAAAATACTTCCAATGAGTCAAAGACATATTATTTTCAATCCAGACGCGCACACCAAACACTAGTATCCCGACCTGCATATTCAGCCTGCCAGCATGGCACTCCTAATGCCTGGATCGTAACCACGCTCTTTTCCCTTGCGCTGGTGTTGCTTGAGGACATATCCACAGATTGGTTAGATATCTCAACTGTCATATTTCCCTACCACATAGCGACACCATCAGGACTATCATACTTGAAAGATATCTTCTATACATTCATGATCAGGGTGTGCAGTCAGGGAAAGGTGATATGGAAAGCAGCTTCCAAAAGTATGGCTTGGAGTGATTTTGCAGGCACCACATTTTCAAAGGAACAAGAAATGCTCTCACTTTCCTTAGGCAGCAGAGGCACCACAGAAAGATGTCCGATACATGAGCATTTGCAAGTGGAGATGGTCAAGAGCAGTACTACTTAGTACTCACAATTCAAGTAATGACAGCATTTCGTGCAAGTTCGGTGGAAGGTTCCCATCCAGATCGTTCAAGCCCAAGCGTCTGAAAAGCAACACACAATCAGAATTCGATAAACCATAAGAACCAATTCAACCCCCACCCAAAACAAAGAAAAAACAAAGCAAGAACAGCTCACCATGAAAGGTTGAACTAAACCGGCTTTGATCAGAATCAAATGCTTGCCTTGAACGTATGAAGGTAGCCCAGTAAAGCGTCCTCTTCACAAAATCCAGGTTGATGGATCTGTCACCCCTACTTTCCCCCTGCATTTCTGCTGCTCACACTCGCACACACAGACCCAATCGAGCTGGCAGCTTGACGTCTCTAAATACGATATGATTGACATTACCAAAAGGTTCACAATTAGGTCCACCATGCATGACCCTGTTCCAAACCCAGTAAGAGAGTGCATTGTGGTCAGATCCACCATTGAGAGAGAGAGAGAGAGAGAGAGAGAGAGAGAGAGAGAGAGAGAGAGAGAGAGAGAGAGAGAGAG